ACTCTGCAGCTCTGCACAAGTCCTTCAAGACTAAATATATCATCTGAATAAAGTCATTATACAAGTTCCACTGGTTTGGTATATGCAATAGGAACAGAAAACAGAGCAGTCAAAGGTATCTCAAGGTCACTGAGTTCAATCATCTAACATAACCTCATCTTACATTCCCCTTAGCGCGCTAATCAGTCTTAGATACCCTGTCCTAAAACTAGAAAGATCCAGGCTCCAACATCAGACAATTGTTCATACAGTACTTTGAGGCTTCAGCCTTCCCCTAATTCCTCCCAGTTTAAATTTTAGTCAGTATACATCTCTTTGTCCTTCTGCCACCCTATTCCTTCATTTTAAATAGGTCTTTTACTTCTCCTCATGTTTATCTCTGATGTATTTATAAGCAGCAGTTATATACTCTTTGCAGTCTTCATTTTATTACACTAAAAAAAAACCAGACTCTCCAGTCCTCTCTGTGGAACACAGATTATTCTTTCCTCATATTATTGTATTACCTCATGAGGGCAATTTGAGCCCATTTTAATCACAAGCCTATTTTAACCAGATGAGATAATACTAGTGTATTCTCACGTTATATTCAAATTAAGTTACAACAGTGTCTCATGAACTGGTTTTAATGTTTCTGACTTTCTAATGGAAATGTCTTGACTAATACTTCTTCTCATCCTTCATCTTCTCATCATTTATCTTTTGCATCACCCTGAGACTTGATTTTCCTTTGACCAGGCAGTACATCCTGAATCTTTCCTTGTTTGTTTCTCAGCTTAGAGAAGAATGGTTATTAGTTCTCAAATACATGACCTTGTATTTTGTACTGCTGAGCTTCAATCCATCTCTGTTACTCTACTCTTTAAGGTTATTCAGTTCATTCTTTATTATATCTAAATTCTGATCTGTACTGACACTATATCTGCTTTTAGCGCCAGTCATAAATGAAAACAAGATTTATCCCACAGCTAAGTCTTAGAGAGCTGCATTAGTGAATATCTTCAGCCCAGCACTCATCTCAACGTAACGTCTTACTATTTCCTTTCTAACCAACTTTATACATCCACTTTAGTTTTTCTGCCTCTCCCTACTTTCTCCCATTTAACACATAATTACACATGTGACAAGGAATCAAATACCGACTGAGGTTGCATAGGTCAGATCTATCCCACTTCTACCAAAGAAAGCCTTCAATGTAGCGTTGCAGGAACTGCTGCTGGTAAACCTCATGATACATTTTATCCTTCTTTATATCTTCCCCACAATATTTGTCCTAAAGTTTTGAGTAGTATTTAATTCAACTTAATTGGTCTGCAGCTGCTGATATCAATTTTTCCTCTTCTGAAATAGAGGTACATTTGCTACTCTGTCATTCAGTGATACAGTTCCTATTTTGATAGATTTTGCTTCCAGACTTAAGAGTCCATGAACTAGTTCCTTGCAGACTTCCTTGATGGAGATTAACCAGTCCCTTTTGACTTGAGTGCATTAATCTCTGCATTTTATTTTCACCTTGACTGTCTGTTTCTATTTCTGATTCTACCTTTGTTCCCAAGTCATCATCCTAACTGAAAAATGAGATCTATTCATTTAGAATTGCCCTGCCTGCTTCATATATTATCTCTGTCACACCATCAGTTTTGCTTCGTCCTGTGTAGTACCCTTCCTATTTACACAGCTAAAGAACATTTGACTATTTGTTTTCAGCATCATTTGTAATCCTTAAATCACAGTGATTCCTGGAAATGGTCCTCTGTGATATGTCTTTTTTTGCTTCCCCTACACTCCATTCCATTTAGCCATTCTTTTTAGCAAACTTCTCCAGGAAAAAAATGCCCTTTTCTTGGAATAATTCACCCTAATGACTTTCAGGCTTCCTCTGTTCTCACATCCTTAGTTGCTTTAGTTTATCAACATTTGTCCTTTTAAAATCAATAACCATATTCACAGAATTGTTTCTATTTACCCTTTCATTTAATTTAAACTGAATCGATTATAATGGGTAGACCAAAAAATTATTTTACTGTATTTTTATGGAGTTGAAAATTCATTGAAAATGCAACCACAGATCATTTTCAAATTCAGAGTAAGTTTATCCTGTTTAGACATTTTTGTAAGATAATACAACTGCTTCAGGCTGAAAGCCTCTGCATTTGGCTTTCATCATGGTATTCTCTGAAATGAATCCCTCTAAAATCAATGATGAATGAATCAATGAATGAAAGTCAGTATGACTAATTACCAAGAAGACTGCTACTCAAAGGGATCGCAAATCAGCCCACTAATTAACAAAACCATAATTTGTTTCTGTCTGTTACAAGTGCAAACACTGGTGGTTTTCTTCTTACAAAATCCAACAGATAGTCTGAGGTGCATTCTTGAGCATATTTTATACTTTACAGGAAATATACTTGTTACTTTCCAGCTTTTACAGTAGTTAAGAATTGTTTTACGTGTACAAGCACATGATGTAAAATTCTTATACAGTAATAAAAGTGCATAATACAGGTGAAATATTTTAAGGGTAAGATTCAAATCTTTCATCTCTATAGTATTCTTTGCATGCAGGTGAGGTCTGTAGAGGCAGAAAATTGTTATTTTCTAGTAGTCTGCATGAAATGATCTCTGTCAGTCAAATTTCTTTTGTATATACTACTAGACAAGCAACTACCACAAGCAACCCAAAATGATTCTCCACCTTGGTAGTCTTACTGCCAGGCCAAAGTTATATTGGTTTTATATACTGGAAACAGATAGCTACTGATTCTAGGAAATCACCCCTCCGCTAGGATCCTTGAAAACATCAGTAGAGGAAACAGTTCTAACTGTGGAACATATAGTGTCAATGGTGAGCAGAAATAAAATGATAATATAGTGTAACAGTAGTATAAAACAGGGAACCTGCAGAGCCGCTCTGGTTTCTCCAGGCTCATGTCAGGTTCTGAAGACATTATACACAGTATTAACCACATTTGCTCTGTTCATCTTTAAGTTGCCTTCTTAAGGATACCTGAGAATTCCAGCTAACATCTGTCACCAGGCAGTGAAACTGAGTAAAACTCTAGGCCTGTGTCGCTGCTTAGTTTGGACAAAAGACCTCCACTGAATGAAATGAAGGAATGTTTAGGACAAAATACATCCTAATACAGAAAAGAGGTTTTCTCATTTAGTCATATGAGAGATAGAGAAACAAGAGCTACTTATAGTTAGATGGAGATCAGAAAGAGAGACCTCACGAAACCTTCAGGCAAAAAACCGCAAATTTATTTTGAACAGTATTCAGAAACGAAAGACGCAGAGTAACCTAGGAAGCTGTCACATGGTGCATAAATAAAAGCCTTATAAATCACTGACATGTTGAAGTCTGTTGTATGCTTTATAAAACAAAGGCCTGGTACAGTAAACCTTAAGTTATAAAACTACAAAAGGAATTCTTTATAAATCAGGCAAGTGATTCCACATCTTAGAGCAAAACAGTTCTAAAGCAAAGAATCCTAATACAGTCCATTACTTGCCATCTGCAAACAAAAAGACTGATTTCTTTTTTCCCCCAGCACAGAGAGATTTTGGTGTGCAAAGGCATTAAAATGAGCACTTTGGAATTCTGCATTAGTTCACCGTAAATTCAGTATGGCTTTTTCAGGAATTTCCCTACGGAAAATAGGGACTCTAAAGTCATTCAGCTTTTATTTTAAGTGACCTTTATAAGCAGAAGAAATATTTTCATTTTAAGCTTAGAAAATGTCATGGTATATCACCTAAATCAATCCAAACTAAGGATATTGCAATCATATTTTTCAAGTTAAGTGAATGTCACTGTGTTTTTTTCTTATTTCCTCCTTTGACTGAATTGAGATAAAAATCCCTGAAAACCTCAAGCAGAAGGCATTCCAGACAACAGTTTCATAGTTCATCTATGTTCAGCAAAGTAATTCAGCATATATTGAAAAGTTTGTGGAATGAGGGCCCTAAGAAGTGGATCTGACAACATTTGGCATTATTTTTTCATGCTAAATTAAAGGCTCAAGTAAGGTAAATGTAAACAAGACCCAAATATCCCTTCCTGGCTCATACAACACACTTAGTAGGTTAAGCAGATCACTCATTCAGAAGAGAAAGAATACACAGCTGACTGGAGTACTGCAGTGGAAATGGCCTCCATTTTACAGGTTAGACCAAATACTACAGAAGTCAGACCAGAACATCATGCAATCCCAGAGACATTTTTAGTAACTTTAAAATACAGTCCTTAATTCTAATCAGCAAGTCTTCCCCTCTAGACTATGTAGCTATAATGCTGAACTTACTTTTCTCAGCCTTTTTTCTCTCTCAGTCTGCTTTGGACCAGATGTTATCACTGTTACTCCACCGGCAACACTATTTATATGAGTTTGGCTTCTATTACCTTAATGAACCATCTACGCTTCATTACGAAAGGGGTATAAACAGAATTCTAATCCAAATGCCATCCAGGGATAGCTGATTTTCCTCCTGTTTTGCTCTAGGAGACATCTTACATCTAAATTTTTTAAAAACTAGTTTTCAAAGGTCACCATACATTCACGAATAAGTCATACTCATTTCCAGTGCTATCTGTTTAAAGAAACAGTGAGAAAGGCTGGAAGTTTGCAACCCTGTCTATCTGTGGGGACAAAAGCCATTAGCTTCATGAACGGCAGTAAGTAAAACCTTGTTTTTAATGGTTTTTCAGACTACAATTATTTCATTCACTGGTCTGTGTCTACAGTTTTGATGGTGTTTTTTAATGCTTCCTCTAGGACTTTTACAAAACGTAGATAAAGTCAGTGAGCGTCGTTAATGTCTTTTATGTCTGCAGCTAAGAAAATGCTAGGACATCTGCTTCATGAATAGGCTGATGCTCTGTTAGTACCATATAGTGCTGAGTATCTCCCAATCACAATGTATAATAATCTTGCATATGTATCACCAAACCAATGATATTTCCAGTCAGCCTGCCCATCAGAGAGCCATCTGCTTACCTGTGTTGCTTGATGGGTTGGGTTCCTCTGTCAGGAGACAAGGCCTCAGGGAAAGACGGAGGGCCTGAAAAACTAGACTCCATAACTTTGTCCAGCCCAGGATGCCTATCTGCTTTTGAATACTGTAACACAGAGAATAAAATGAATTAATACATAAAAGGCAAAACATATTAGTGAAGTTATTAATTAGAATTGATATCAAAAAGGGTAAAAAGTACTCTAGCGTATTTTCAAATTTAAATTGGCCATTGCAAGTAATACATTCATTCACTACTGTTTACACAGCAGAAAACACTGATTGATGCTCATTATTCCCTTTCCCCCCTCCCCATCAAAATACTGGTATCTGCATCTGTAAAAAAAACTATTGACTGCCTTGTCCATAATGATAGGAAACACTGAGCCCTTTGAATAAAAGCATGCTTTGTGGCTGAGATCACAAACGACATCTCAGAGGATGTTCAGCACCTTCTCTGGCCTTTGGTGATTTCAGTCAAACGCTGCTCCATCCTCTTAGCGGCTACTGCGCAGTATCTCAGACATACAAGAAGCTAACCCACATTTCCACACAGATATGAAAAATATGTTTTTATGCCACTTGACAATGATCTGCACTAAAATTAATTGTTTTATTTTTATGCAACTCGTATCTTTCTGTAAAGATGATCTGCTTGAGTTTGTATTTTTATTACTAGACACCATCTTTATCATCCATGTTACCTTTACTATAAACAAGTCTTATGGAAGGTATTACATGATGAAATATTTTGGAAAGAAAATACGAAGTAAACTTCTTAAAAAAATCGCAATGGTAAAAAAAATACCACGTTATCGTGCAATAGCATAAACTTTCATGGAGAAGACAGAGTAAAATTTCTGTTCACAGAACAATTCTTTTTCATAATTTTTTTGTTATCTAACAAAAAAGACCCAATAAGAACTCCTTAAAATACAAACTTACTTCCTGATTCCCATTTATTCTTACCCACATTTCCCCTATACTTCAGCAAAATCAAAATGAAAGGTCATACAAGATTATTCTCTTAAAAATGAATTAAACACAATTTCAGTACATCTACTCTTACTTCTCATAGCCAGTTTCTGTTGATTAAAAAGAGATCTTGAAGTAGGATAAAGGCCTGAGCTGCCACAGTCACAAGCTACAGCTCCAATGCAGCAAAGCACTTAGGCGTGTGCCCCCCCCCCCCCCCACTCTTCTCTTTTTCTCTTGTGTGAAGGATCCATATAAACAGGGCAAAAATCACTCCTTAAGTGATTCTGAAGGCATTTTACAAAGCTATAAAAGTGACAACATGCAAAATGTTGCCAAATGCAGAAAGTAAACACAGCTGAAATAATACAAGATATTATATTCTTAATTCTTCCAGTTGCAGTGATCTTAGCTGTCACTTATAACCATTGTCGGTAAAAGTAGTATAATCTTTAAGGTGCCTCTGAAGGTTTTTAACTTTAATAGTTACTCTGCCAGCTGCAGAAATGAAACTGCCTTTGATTTCTAACCTGAATAAATCAATTTGAGCTATGTAAAGAATGGGTTGTTAGTGCAAGGAAGCTATTTCTGTCCTTTCTTGTGTTTGTTCATGATACTGAATTGCAGGTTCAAATGCCTTACAAGACCATGACTGTGAAGTGAACTGTAAAGGACAATTAGAGATAAGCTCTGCCTTTTGCTACATCCATGGTTAAGGTAGATGTAGGCTGGAGGGATCGTATACAGCATTTTTCCTCGTCACTGCTGAGGAAAAACAGGACCCCATATGCTGCCCACCAACGCTGACTAGCAAACTCTTTTGAACATCCAACACCCACCCCTGCTTAGGCAGAGCTGGCAGAGGTTTCTGGTTTTTTTTCCTCCCCTAACTGAACATTTCTTTGATTCCTTTTTCAAATACACTATTTGCCAATTACTGTAACAGCTGTAATGCTAGTTGCAATGAACATGAGAATTACAATTTAAATTGAGGGTGTAAATATATTGAGTATTTGAACAACCACTATAATTGAATTTATTTAGGTATACCACCTTATTCATACGTTCTGATAGATTTAAATACAGTTGCGTCTATTCTTTAGATTAATCATAGGTCCCACACTCCTTCCCTCCGAGCTTCTCAGAAACCACCTCTTACAGGGAAACACCTTCAGATTTCCACAAGGAGTTTATTACAGTACCAGTCAGTGCTCCAAGGGGTACGGTATACAACTACTTCCCATCTTTATCCCGACCGAAACCATCCTGCTCCTTCCACAGCCCAGTTTGCGCATGGGCTGAACCCTGCAGAGTGCTCAGCTACTATGAAGACTAAGCGGGGAAACAGTTTCAGAGAACAGTTTGGGTAGCTTGAAAGCACCACTGGAAGCTTATCTGTGTTATTTGTGTTTTTGGGGTTTTATTGTCCTTCTGGGTGAGTATTTGTGCTTGTTTGAGCAGTTACTGAGAAACACTGATACATGTGGCTAAATGAATTAATGAATAATGACAGCATAAATAAAATATTTCGAAAATTTACAACTATTTGAGTTTTGTGGAGAAAATCAACTGTTGTATACAATTACCCAACTCTTCAGCAATAAAATTCCAGCCCCACTACTTAATACTAAAAGAATCTGAGAAAGCAGCTTGGCCCAGGAGGCAAGAAATTTGGCTCTACCACTGAAATACTGTACAATTTTGAATAAGTCATTGCACTGCTATCTGCCTTGCATTCCCAATTCTAAAATTATTTAGATCTGCAGATGACAAATGCTACACAAATACTACAAAATAGCTAGACACTATAATCCTAGAGTTATGTAAAATAAAGCATCACCTGTCCCCAGCTTTCTTAGCTCCTCCTCCTCAACAATTCCTCCCCCCCCCTCCGCCCCCCAAATCCCCAAACTGATGTTGCATTGAAAGAGAGGTGATGTAGGGATGTAATTTCAAAAACAAAGGGGGGGGGGGGGGGTGGCAGTTTAAATTACATGCAGAGAGGGTGCCTCAAGGAAATAAAGAATCAGTGATTTTTCTAGATGGGCTGACCTAGCACAAAAAAAGCTTTCAGGAGGTGTTGTTAACCTCCTTACAGCCGTTTCCATATGTGCTATATTTTGCTGCCAACACTCTACACAGAGACCAGTAAACTCAAGTTTGTCTGTTTTGGCAGATCCTCCAAAGTAGTCACAGGGTGATACAGAAATGGGAAATTTGCTCTTGATCTTAGCTGACAAGTCACACTGTAACTTAAGCAAAACCACATGGTAATCTTTTAAAAGATTTAAGTGTCTCTGTCTGGTGCTTAACATATTAATTGTATTTCTACCACAATTACTAGGAACAATTTATTTACCACTAAAACCAACAAAAGACAATAAGATACAAAAAGAATTTTTTTTTTCCTCTTAAGGATATCAGAAACCTGGAGTCAGGGATCCTAAGATATTGGAATCAACCAAAAAAAGAAAATGAAATCAGATTCTGCAGCATGAAAAGCCTATTAGTCACTTCAGAGAGAAAGTGATGGGGAGTTAAGAAATTCACCTAGTACCCTGGGAGATGATAATCAAATCCACAAGGGTAAAAGAGGCGAGTTTAAACAACCACGAGAACTCTCAGACTCACTAGGGAAAAAGGAAGTTTTCAGCTGCATTTTTTGTTGTACAATGTATTTCTCAAGTTATAAGCTTTAAAGGAAACCTACCGTGGTGCTGAGAAAGGGAGCTAGTAAAGAGAAGCATGATCAAGATTGATGAAGACTGGCAAACAGAAAAGCAGAAGCAGGGCTACACCACCTCCTCTTGCCCCTTGCCTGGTGAAGGAGAGAGAACAGGGCATTTGCCTTCCGTACAAGGCAGCAGAGAATCACCACCTATTTTCTCTTTTGGATGAGGACACTGAACCATTTGCCATAGTCTTGCACAGCATATTCGTTACACATCTCTTGGAGATGTATAATCTCTTAGACAAGGGGTAGGTAATACTAGGAAGCCCTAAATTTCATGCATTAGGTGAAGTAAGTCTTCATGTCTCTTAAACCCAAAAGAACCGGCATTATCACATTTGCTTGAATGCTTGACACATTTATCTCTTGCTGGATAAAGAATTATAGCAAGGAAACTATGATTACCGATATATTGATACTAGTAAAAAAAGGAAAAACGGTTCAAGTTAACTAAGAATCTGCAAGGGGACAGAAACCTGAGCTTCTGGTAATAAAGTAAAAGGAAACATTGCTGATGAACAAGCACAGTTCAGAAACAATGATCCAAGCCCAAGATGCTAGAAAACCAAGCAAGAAATGTACTGTATTGCTGCCAAAATACTTGGGAAAAGCAGTGGCCAAGATTAAAGGAGACTCAAAAGAAACTCTGGAGGAGCTCTGTTCACATAGAAGTAATCCTCCTTAAAGTATACGGTATTATCTAATTTGTATCTCTAGCAAAATGATGGAATCAATACTGAGAGAAACACAGGTGAACACAATTACAAACTATAAGCAGCAGGAGCTCAGAGCCCTGACAAAAATCTAATGCTTTTTTATGTACAGAATCACAAAATGAGCAGATGAAGGAATTGGAGGTGTAACACATTTGGATGTGGAAAGGAAAAGCAAATGATACTTCAGAATACTTTTACTCTCAGTGCAAACAAAAAGCACTGATTCCCTACAATAAATCAAATGACAGAGAGGCACCTAGATTTCAATATAAATCCATAACTCTCTTTGTGTTCTTCCTCAGCGTGGGGCTTGCCAAGGCAGGTGAGTTTGCACATGTTCTATGCTAAAAGAGCTCTCACTTAGCATTGGAAAGAACCAAGTCTTCTCATGAGAATTTCACACTGCTTGTAATTGATGGAATAGCAGACCCAAACACCTCTGACGCTTTGTAATTCATTTATATTTACACTGTATTACTGGGTGGTATCCCAACGCCGGATGCTTGGAGTGAATGCACTTGGAGCCGCTCTCCTAGCTAAGGATGACTCTATTGCTAAAAGATGGCATTTCCTGTAGTCCAATAGTTCATCCTTCACTGAGGCCTAGCGCTCAATCTGTTCTCTGTCACATGCAGCTGGACTTACTCTTT